TTAGCCCTCACCGAGGCAAATAATTCATTCCCATCTCTCAGGCTGGCTTCTCGGGCTGATGGACATAAATCGCCTAACTGCTTACTCTCTGACCTCTTGACCTTGCTGCTTTTGTGTTCAAAAAATATTATTCATATTTCTCTTAACTGCCTATGCAACCTTTGGCTGCTTCTCTCCCTTTTTTTGAGTAAAGTAGCTTCCTTGGGGGTTTTCCTTCCTTCTCCAGGCCGGCAAGCTTCTGCCTGGACAGGGCCCTGTACAGGGGGGTGAGGATGAATTCTGCGAGAGGAAGACTTGAAAGGTGCCTGCTATGGGGCACTCCCAAAACAGGAATAATCACAGCCATCATCCCCTACCCTCTGCGCCCAGCACTGCTCTGGGGGCTGTGTGGACACTGACCCGTTTAATTCCCACGGCCACTCCATAAAGTAAGTACTATTATTATCTTTTTTTTCAATGAAATAACCAATGATTAGAGAGGTTAGGCCAATAGACTGCCAGGGTCACACAGAAAGGAAGGGGCAGATGCTGGCTTCGAATCCCCTTGGGCTGGGTTTGGGGCCCATGGACTTTGTTTGCAACCACGTTGCTGCCTCTCTGACAGGGAGGGCGTACTCAGACCGAGGGAGCATAGCCTTTGACCCCAAGGAGCCCCAAGTTTGATGGGGGGGCAGATATCCTCTCCCGGGGGAGTACGCCTAGTCCAGTGGTTCTCAACCTGTGGGTTGCGACCCCTTTGGCGGTCGAACAACCCTTTCCCAGGGGTCGCCTAAGACCATCCTGCATATCAGACATTTACATGACGATTCATCACAGTAGCAACATTACAATTATGAAGTAGCCACGAAAATAATTTTATGGTTGGGTCGCAACGTGAGGAACTGTATTTAAAGGGCCAGAAGGTGGAGAACCGCTGGTCTAGTCTGATGGCAGACTTTGCATTTGGGGGCATCTGCCTGACAACAGCCCCAGGATGCTCCCAGCTTGACGAGGGTTCTGATTAGACCCCCCACCGAGCCAGTGAGCCCCATAGGACTGAACTGTGGACAGTGGTGTGAGAAAGATGAGAACGAAGCGAATTGGAAGGCGCTTCATTGGAGCTCTCCCCTGACGGAGGGGAGTGTGACGCACGACTGGCCACAAGCAGAGCTGCTGGTGGAAGGAAGAGGGCAAGGCCCCTGTGGGGCGCAGACTTGCTGAGGGCAATGCCCGGAGAGCGGGGGTTTGCTTAGCTCAGGGATCCTCCACCCTGGCACCCAGTAGAATTACCTGGAACTGGGAGGGGGGGGTGTTTAAAAATAGTCATGCTTGGCACTTCACCCCAGAACAATTAATCTCTGCGAGTGAGGCCAAGGCACTGGCATTGTTAAAAGCCCAGCAGGAGGTCCTAATACACAGCTGGTGGTGAGGACCAGGAGCTGGGCTTGGCGTCCTCAGCTCCAGGAACTGGGATTTTCCGTGAAGGGGATTCTGGAGAAGTATGTTTGCTATTCTCCACCGATGGTTCCCTATTCAATTCAACACCAACAGGAATCCTCAGTTTGGTTACACAGTGAAGAAGGAAACTTTATTTAGTACAAAACAGCTCAATTGTGATGCATGGCTGTGGGGCAGCTCCCCTCTGCTGGGTGCCGGCCTGCTTTGCGGCCTGCTTGGGGATGCCCTGGTCTGCTCCAGCAGGACATTTTCAGTGTTTCAGCTCAGCCACAGTCTGCTGGAAAGGGAGAGTTGCTCCCAAAGCCAGCGGGGAGCTGACTTATACAGACAGAAGTCCCCACCCCTGCGCCCTGATTGGTCCTCAAGCATATGAAGACTCCAAATGCTCACAGTTTGATTGGTCCAAAAGTCACTGTTCTGATTGATTAGAATAGAACTGCTCTGGTTGGGCGCAGCTGCACAGCTTAGATTGGATGGGGAAAGCCTCAGTCCTATTGGTTGAAATAGGATTCCAGGAACTCCTTTATAAAGGCTGGGTCCCTGATGGTGCAGGTAGGCAGTTCAGTGCTGAGGCAGATAGGTCGCTGCAGGCTTCTGCAGGAAGTGCAGTTTTAGTGAGAGGTCCTTGTGTAGAATCAGCCTGGTAGGCTGTTTTTTTAAAACTTCAGTCTAGTTAGCCACCAGGACCCCCTCTTACTAGGTGTCTTCTTTCTCAGAGTTCACACTATGAACTGAGCTGTTAAGGATTTGAGATGACAGTGAAGGGGACAGAAAGTTAAGGGAACCAGAGAGAGAGGTGAGATTACTGCTTCGGCTGCTAAGGTTCTGGAGAAATTTGGTTTCTCCATTGCTTGGGTTTGGAGGTGAGATAAGAGGCCTGAGGAGAAGTAAAAGCTTTGATAACCCAGCCCTCACCTCACACTGAGAATAACCATCAAATCTGAATACCAGAAGCTGGAAGGTGGGCAAGAAGCACTAAGCTAAGAATATTCTCTTTGCTTCTGAACTTTTTCTTATCATTTTCCTCAGTCACTATCACCATGGGCCTCCCTTTCATGAACCTTCATGCAGAGTGACAAGAAAAGGCTGCCTCACTGATACTCCAAGAGCACCACTACCTCAGGGCCTTTGCACATGCTGTTCCCACCTACCTGCTACATTCTCCCCTCCGAAGCCTGAGTCCACCAGTCCCCAATTCCTTCAGGTGTCTGCTCAAATGTTACTTTAGCACAACAACTTTCTGGGACTGCCTATAAGATCAGCCTCTCCCTCCCTCCCACTCCCTATTCATTTGTCATGTTTTATTTGTCTCAGCACTTACTACATGATATATTTTTATATTTTTCTACTGTCTCTTCATCTTTACAGAATGAAACACTATGAGGGAGGAACTTTCTCAATTTTTTTTCTCTTCTTTTTGTGTTTTTAAACATAATATTTTTTTTGTTTCAGAGAGGAAGAGCGAGAGCAAGAGTGAGAGCGAGAGAGAAACATCAATGATAAAAGAGACTCATTGATCGGCTGCCTCTTGCATGCCCCCTACTGGGATTGAGCCTGAAAACCAGGCATGTTCCCTGACCTGGAATTGAATGGAACCATGTCCTCCTGGTTCATAGGTCAATGCTCAACCACTGAGCCACACTCGCAAGGCTGTCAATATTTTTTTCATTGTTATATCTCCAAAGCCTAGAATTGTGACTGAAACAAGCAGGTACACATTTGTAGAATGCAAATAAATGAAATCACTTATGTATATGCACATTTGTGTGTGGCTGTATATATTTGATTATATTCATGTTTCTTTGGGCTAGATATGACTCGCTATTTTTTTGAGATTTAATTTTTAATTTTTTCTTTAATTCTTTATTGCTTAAAGTATTACATATAGCATTACATATGTGTCCTTTCCCCTCATTGACATCTCCCTGGCCACCCCCCCCCCCCCCCCCCCCGTGTCTGTGTCCTTTGGTTATGCTAATTTTCAAAATTCTTTCTTTAAAGTATTACATGTAGTATTACATGACTCTGATTTTAAACTCTGTGTTTGCCTTTGCATATGTGTTTTTGAACATGTGAAGGCCTCTCTGGGTCTGCGCATAACGTTCTTCTGAATGTGCGCTTGTGTGTTTTTCTGCCTGTGTTTCTGTATCCCCCAGTGGTGTGTGGATGTGTCTGGACCATTCATCCTTAGAAGAAGGAGTGTGGGCGCCTCCTGCCAGCAGAGGGAACCAGAGAGCCATGCGCGGCCGCACGGGGGCTAAGATGGAGAAATCTTGGCGGGTAGCGTTCGGGACCCAGGAGACCTAGAATCCGCGAGGAAACCAGAGGCCTCTCTAAACCAGCAAAGTTGTGCAATTCCTGTTATTTCTCCTCAACTCGTACCCTGGGGCCCGGACGTCCTGGCATCACCAGCAACCCTGGGGGCAGAAGCATGGGGTTGGGGTTGGAAGAGGGGCTGGGTGCCGCGTGGGCTCCTGAGGAGGAGACCCCGACGGAGCGTCCTCCTTCCCAGCACCTGGATCTCTCAGCCCCATCGGGTCTGACTCCTTCCCGCTTCGAGGTCCTCCCGCGGCCGCCCTCTCCGTGTCCCTTCAAAGCGAGGAGTTGGCTACTTTCTCCTTCTGGAAGGGAAGGGTAAATGCCCGGGTGAAGGCAGGAGCCAAACGCCCCCCCCCCCACCCCCCCCAGGGCCAGCGGGGCCTTCGCCTGGCTTCCCCGTGCGCTGGGGAGGCGCCCGGCAGGAGCTCCAGGCGGATCCAGGAAGCAGATTCCGCAGCTCCGGGGGGAGGAACGGATCCCCCTCAATCATGCATGAGCGCATTGAAAATGCCCAGTTTGGGGAACCGAGGGATTCGACTCTGGGCGTGGGATTAACAAGGAAAACAAAACACGAGAAGAGGATTTTATGCTTGTTGATCCCGTGAACCACCGCCGGCCCCCCATCCCCCTCGCCCCAACACACTCACACCCAGATGCACTCACACTCTCCTCCCCAACATCACGGTCCTCCGCCGGCTGGAGGCGAGTCCCCAGCCCGCGCCCCGCCTCCCTCATCCCGCCGAGCTCCGCCGCCCGGACCCGGGCTGTGCACGTCCCGCGGAGGGAGGCGCGGGGCCGGTGCCCAGCAGTCCCCGTCCCGGTCCCGGCGCCCGCCTCGTCGCGCTCGTCACTCCCCTCGCCTTTGCCCTCGATCCCTCTTTCTCTTTGCTCTCTTTCCATCTCCGCTCCAGCGCGGGGTGCGAGTGTGCGCGCGCGCGTGGGGCGGGGGAGGAGGGGGGCTCGGAGGAAGAGTAGACGTCAGGGGGAGGAGGGAGGGAGGGAGGGAGGGAAAGAGGAGAAGGGAGGGAAGGGAGAGCAGAGATGAAAGAGACCCAGAGAGATAAAGCCGGAGACGAGAAATAATCAAAGCGCGAGGGGGAGGCGCGGGGGGCGAGAGAGAGCGAAGAGCCGGACTGGGAGGAGAGAGCGGCCGAGTGGAGGGAAGGGAAGTAGTTGTGCGCACGAGTGTGTGCGTGTGCGCGCGTGTGCAGGGCGGGCGGGCGGGCGGGCGGGGGCCGGCTCCTCCTCCCCAGCCCGCTCCTCGCTCCTCGCCAACTCCGGGCCCAGCCGCGGGGGCGCACGGCGGGCGGACAGCATGCTGAGCCTCCTCGTCTGGATCCTCACTCTCTCCGACACTTTCTCCCAAGGTAAGGCTCCCGCCCGCCCGGGACCCGGCTCCCGCCCCGCTCGGGGGGCGCCCTCGCCGAGGGAGTCTGGGGGACCCCGGGGTCCCGGCGCCATGAGGCGAGCGCTGGGTCCCCGCGCGGAGCCCGGGGCGCGGAGCCCGGGCTGGAGTGGACTTTTCCGCCGATCTGACCAAGTTGCTGCCTCGGCTGCGCCCGGGGACGGAGGGAAGAAGGGACCCGAACGCGAAAGTCTTTCCCGAGCCGCGGGCAGCCCACCCGCCTCTCCGCCCTCCGAGGCCGGGCCGCCGCGGGTCCTGCCTGCGGGGAGGGCTGGCGAGGGTGGGATTTCAGATCTGGGGGTGGGCGGAGGCGCGCGGAGAGCTGGGGACCCCGGCTCGGGAAGGTGTTGCCAAGGGAATCCCCCGCTCCAGCCTCGCCCCCCGGGCGACCAGTGGGAGCCCGGGGCTGCCGGTCTGGGAGGAAGGGGGCGCCTTGGGCTCCCGCCCGCCGCGGGCTCGCTGGGGAGTGGAGTTCCAGAGGCAGTTGCTGGCCGGCTCGATGTGGAGGGGCATTGGGAGAGGTCGGCGAACCCCCACTTTGGGTCAGGACGGTGTTGACGTTGTGAGCGTATTTGGAACTGTCAGGGCAGAGGCTGGGAGAGGTTGAAAGAAGCGAGGCTGGCGAATCCTCTCGGGGGCGGCGGCGAGGGCCGGGGACAGAGAGCCCAGACTCCAGCCGGGACTGGCCAGGCTGTGGCGGTGGGTCTTGCCTGGTGGGTCTGACTCTTAGGAAGATTCCAGACTGCTGAGCGAGCCCCTTCCCTGCAAAAAAGGAGCTGATGGAAATCGACACACACACACACACACACACACACACACACACACACACACACACAATATAGTCCCAGACCCTGAAGCAGACTACTCACCTACTCACCTACTGAGTGAGGTAGACAGACCCACCAGCATCGCCCACACCGAGACAGGCACATCGACACAAAGACACTGACACATCCGAGGAGACAGATTCCTCTCCACAGCGACGCGTTTGCACATTCACGCACCCAGACACATCAAACTCATAGGCACAGTACATGTATGCAGGCATGTGCAAGGACACAACACACACACTCACACCGAAAACCTGCTGGAGAGACCAACCGTCCAGCAAACAAAGAAACGGGAGTAGCCATCCATATAGTCAGACACCTATGGAGATGTACAGGCTACAAAATGGAAGAGGGGGTGGTCTCTTTTTTGGGGGGGGCGGGGATCTGGGGAGAGGGAAGTCAGCTTGGATAGAACATTTGCAATTGTCATGCCCTGCACTGTTCCCTTCCCGGGTTTGTGGGTGTGTTTAGGGGTGGAGCGTGACACTGGACCCCTTGTCTCCTTGGGGGGCCCCTCCCAAGCTCCAAAGGCTGAGTTAATGGGGGCAGATCTTGATCAGTCTTTCCCCAAAGGGCATCTGTGTAGCCCCCAAACCCCAATCCCCCCCCCCCCCCCACACACACACACTTGAATATGGGAAGGGCACACACTTATGGTGAGAGCTGAGTAGGAATTGGTGCTGGGGTGGAAGGAGGCCTGGTCCTGGGTTGGGGGTTAGCTGGCCAAGCTGCCACTTGGCAGAAAGTTGGGAAGATGACTTACTGTAAGTTCTCATTTTGTTCAGCTAGGCTGCTAGGGAGAAAGGAGGGGTGGGTGGGCAGCTGGGTCCGTACTGGTATGTGTTGGGGGCCAGCTATGTCTGCTCCCTCCTCTGCGGCCCTTACATGTCGGCAACATGGACACGGATGAGCTTCAAGAAACAAAAGCTGCAGTTAGGACATAGGAGAGACATGTGGATTGAATCGGGGAGGAAAATGGTCAGAAAGAGAGAAGGGTGTCCTGTGCCTCTCCCTCTGAGAAGGGGGAGGGATCAGAGGTTAACTGAGCTCCCTGGTCCCTGCCTCCAACAGGGGTGAAAGCAAGACCTGATGAAAGTGTGCAGAAGTGTTGGGGGTGGGGTGGGAGGGTGGAGGATGAGTGGATGCCAAAGAAAAGAAAGGGAGAAAATAGACCAGAGGGGAGAGGAGTCACTAGGAGTGCCCTGGGAAGCGGAGCGAGGCCTGGGGTGGAGGCAGGGGCAGGGACTGGCCATCTGGGGAGACGGTGTGGCGGGAAGGCTGGGACCTCCTCCGCGGCCTCATCTTTAGAAAGAAGGAATTCCAGGTCAGGGACTGGGGCAGGGAGAGAGGACAGGGGGCTGCCAGGGGACTGAGGGATGGGGGTGGGAAATGGGAGAAGGTGGCAGGAGAATGCACATAAACTGAGGGGTGCAGAGAGGAGAGGGAAGGGGAGATTGAGCTCAGGCAGAGAAATAAAAATCACATTTTAAAGAATGCCAATGGGCTTCATCAATCTTCATTTTTCACTAAATAATTTTCTGTATCTTATCTAAATGAAAACCATTATCCTTACCCCCATTTCCATCATGCGTCAGCTCCTCAGACTGATTGTGCCGAAAATTGAAATATTTAATCATTTTCTGGGAGATTTTCTCGCTCCCAGTCTTGAAGAGGAGAAATTGAAAAAGAAAGATTATAGCTAATCAGAGCAATGTGGGCTGACAGGCTGGCTCGGAGTGGGAGCTGCCTCCAGGGGGGAGGGCAAAGCGGGGGGGGGGGGGGGGAGGGGCAAAATCTGTCCCTTCAGCTCCCACAGGTCCCCTGGGTATCCCTGCCACCAACTGGGAGGGGGGTGAGGAGTAGAGGTAAGAGGCCTGAAGCTCTCCCAATTCCCAGGATTAAACTCCCTGCACACAGCTACATCCTGGCAGAGAACATGGGTCTGGAAAGGAGAGTAGTTGGGAATTGAGGCACCCCCCCCCCCCCCCACACACACAGTTTACATGTCCCACTTCGGCCTGTGTAGCCCAAAGAGGCAGGGAGACAAGGCAGAAATCAGGATATTGGACTGCCCTCCCCCTTTTTTCTTTAAAAAAAATCTTTATTATTGAGAGTATTATATATGTTCCTCTTTTCCCCCCAATGACCCCCTCCAGCCCACCCCCACCCCAGGCTTTCACTGCCCTATTGTCTGTGTCCATGGGCCATGCATATATGCATACCAGGTCCTTGGTTGATTACCTCCCACCTACCCACCCTCCCCCGCCTTCCCCCTGAGATTCTGCAGTCTGTTCCATGCTTCTGTGTCTCTGGATCCACTCCATTCATCAGTTTATTTTGTTAATTAGATTCCACATATGAGTGAGATGATGTGATACTTGCCTTTCTCTGGCTTATTTCACTTAGCGTGATACTCTCCAGGTCCCTCCATGCTGTCTCAAAGGGTAGGAGATTTTTTTTAGTGCTGCATAGTATTCCATGGTGTAAATGTACCACAGCTTTTTAATCCACTCATCTACTGATGGGCACTTGGGCTGTTTCCAGATCTTAGCTATTGTAAATGGCGCTGTGAAGAACATAGGGGTGCATACATTCTTTCTGACTGGTGTTTCGGGTTCCTTAGGATATATTCCTAGAAGTGGGATCACTGGGTCAAGTGGCAGTTCCATGTTTAATATTTTGGGGCTCCCCTTCTTGACTTCGATTGGACTCCCACCTTCCTCTCACTCAGACCTAAAGGGAGGGCACACATCCAGCCCTCAGTGCCTGGCGTTGCCTCTGGCCACAGCCCTGGATCACCAGGACACGGAGGCCTCTAGCCTTCCCACCTTCTGCTGGTCACTGTCGCTGCATGGTTGGTTGGCTTGCGCTCCCTGGGTCTCTGGTGGTGTGGGGACCAGGAAGGCCATCCTGTGGTCCTCGCGTTCACCCCCTTGACCTGAGAACCGAGTTCTCTGATGGCCCTCTCTATCCTCGGCCACCAAGTCTTAATGCCTTTATGTCCTTTCCGTTTCCGACACAGAGCTATGCACATGGTCATTGCCCCTCACGTATCTGGTTGATCTGATGAGAGCGCTGCTGCGTTAGGCAGACTAAACGGTGATTGAATCACAGGCCCCTGGTCGACCCCACCTTGGCCACTTGGTGGTTTTGTCAGCTTAAACCAGGTATGCGCCTTCCCTCTGCCTCAGTCTGCTCATCTGTAGGTGAAGATGGAAATAATACCTCACAGGGTTTCGATGGCAATTGAATATGTTAATCCGTGGAAAGAGCATGGCACCGTGCCTGGCACAGAAGATGGTCAGTAATGCTTCTGCCAGGGCCCCGTGGCTGGACGTAGATGGAACCGCCGTTGAGTTGTCTGTGCCGCTTATTTGATGCTTCTCTTTTGTTTTCTTGCGCCAGCTGCCCAGATGGCTGATCCTGGGCTCCAGCGCCTCCTCTGTGTCTCATGGAGAGGCCGGGTTGTGCAGGCAGACCCAGAAGCTGACCGGCCTCTCACTGGCTGGCCGGAGAACTCAGTGGAGGAAGAGGACTGGGGAGAGAGCAAAGGGGGAGAGGTTGGCACTCTAGTGAGAAGGAACGGAGGCTCTTGTGAGAACCAGGAGGGACACTAGCCCCAGGTGGCAGCATTTCAGAGTCTGGAAATAACACGGATCATTTATTGAGCCCTGTGCTAACTGCTTTATATGCATTATCTAATTTAATCTATACAACGACCCCGTGAGATCAGCTCTGTAATGATCTCCATTTCATGGATGAGAAATGGTGGTTCAGACAGGTTAAGTCTCTTGCTGGCAGTTGTGGGAGCCGGCTGACCCCAGAGCCCGCACCCTTCCCCTCTGCAGGGCTCCCGCATGCCAGCAGGAATGGGCGTCGGGCCAAGACGGGGGTTTTTCCGGGTCCAGAATCCTCCAGAGGTGAAGTGCTGAGTGGGGACCTGGGGCAATCCCAGGACCATCAGCTTGCAAAGCAGCCAGGCCCTGGCAGACGCGGAGGCTGGGTGAGGGGTGGTCTGTTCTAGTCGGCTATGGGAGGCCCTGCTTTGGCCTCAGTGGTGAAAAGTGATTACAGGAGGTGAGCTCCATCCCAAAGCATCAAAATGGCTTTTTATTGAATTCCTACTGTGCTT